GCGAAGATAAAATGTTTTTCAGATAAAGCATCTGTTTAGCTGACTTTAAAGTGGTACGAATACAAGACACTCAGAGAAATGTAATTAAGCAAATGATCAGCACGGTGACAGAATCACTTCGTTGTTGAAAAATATCCAGTGATAACTGCTGAAACAAAATCTTGAATCTTCTCATTTGTAATGCAAGTGTCAAGAGTCGTTTCTGGAGTGAGTGAGTGATGTTTCTATTCAGCAGCAACATGCTAATGTGGATGGGGACCCAAGAGAAAATAATACTTAGATCAGATGTTGCAATAGCTGTTTGTGAGCATGCAACAGAGAAGTATTCCATACAACCTGTGAAATATAACTTACAAATAACTTAGCAAACAGCAATACTGTGCTTTTTCACTGTTAACTTCCTGATCACACAGAGCTAAGCCAAAAGATCCAACCCTTGCGCCATAGTTTCTCCAAGTCCAAGAGAGGACAGCTGAGCTCTGGCTGGTTCTGCCTTTTCTCCTTAGTTTTGCAGTGGGTTTCAAGGAGCTACCAGCCCCCCTGGCCATGCTCTGTGCTCCTCCTCTGCAGCGCCGCAAACAGCAACTGGCTGGGATCTCCTTGTTGTTCTTTGGGGAACTGGTCTCCCTTGAGTGATGCAGTTCCCGGCTGTAGACGACCTTAGAGATAAATTAACTCAGATTCCCTCCTATCCATTTTCTGGCTGCACCTTGAGAAAGAAATAGTTCACGCTCCAGCAAAACACTGCCCAGTAGTGGGAGGAGGATGGCAGGGAATTGCCCAGCAGAGTGAACCGGGTGTCCCTCAACCAGCTGCCTTTTGATCTTCAAAGATGGCAATGCTCAGCTGAGAGTTCGCTCGTCTGTGCTATGGCTATCCACCCCACAGTATGTAAGGAGCTAATCATGTTCGTCATTACAGGTTTCTAAGTGACCAACAGCAAAGAGAAGCACGCAAGAATTGCCGTTCTTATCTCACACTTCAGGGGAAATGGTTGAGCCTGTAGGTAACCACTATGTTGTAGCCAGATCTGTGTACTCGGAGAAGTTATTTGATGAAGAGCATGAGAAACTGCACAGATACCATAAAACCTTTTGGGATCACCTAAAACTATATTTTCGGTAAGGAGATTTCTTTTTTTATAATATGAATATAAGAAAACCTGAACTGCAACCCCGAGATAGCATAAACTTCACATTGACAACTTCCGTGTCAGAGTCCCACAGAGCAAATGGAAACTCATTAACCAAACACAGTATCGGATTTTTCCAGAGAATTTTAGACAGTGTTTCCCCTAAATGTATCTTCTGCCGTTGTATCTCAGGCACCTTGTCTTTTCCTGGGCACTTGAGGCACCCCTCGCTTGAAGCACAGCTACCATACAGCAGGTTGCTCAGGGCCTTCTGCAGGCAAGACCTTGATTTCTGGCAGGCTGAATCTGAATCCTTCTCTCTTCTTTTCACCCATGAAGACTGGGAGCGCACACTGATGGGCTACGGACCAGATGAGACGTTCGCTGACAGAACTGTGGCCTGTTGTATCTTTACAGCTGTTCTCCACAAAGGATCAAAAAAATTGTCTTGGGTTTGCTTCCAATTGCCTCCTGGCTGCCAGCGTACCGCTTCAAGGAGTGGATCCTGAGCGACATCGTCTCCGGCATCAACACGGGGCTTGTGTCTGTCCTGCAAGGTACCTTTGGGAAACACGTGCTCTAACATAACCTGTTAGGCTGGCTTGAAAGGTACCGCTAGCTCCAGCCTGTAGCATATACCTCCTTTTTCTCGTGTCCCTGTCATTACAGGTCTCGCATTTGCTTTGCTGGTAAATATCCCCCCTGGTTATGGACTCTACGCAGCATTTTTCCCGGTCTTAGTCTATTTTATCTTTGGCACATCCAGACATATCTCAGTGGGTAAGTTCAGGCATACTGGCCGCCCTCGTAGCTGATGAAGAATTACGGTTTGCCCATTGGACGCTAACGAATGGATGCCTTGGTGCTCATTAGGTCCCTTCCCTGTCCTGAGCCTGATGGTGGGAGGCGCCGTTGTGAGACTAGTCCCGGATGACTTTTCTGAAAATGGCACTTTAGTGAATATTTCCAAAATAGATGAAGAGAGGGTGATGGTAGCTGCATCTGTAACCTTCCTGGCTGGGATTTTCCAGGTTGGTGTCTGCCCGCGTGAGTTCATTGCCCTTCTTATTTGCTTTCTGCTGTTGTAGTCACAGGAGTAAAGCTCCTGCTGTTCCCATGTAACTGACCTTGGGCCACTGGCTAGGAGACATCCATCCCCTTCCACCGACCACTCGCTGATTCATGCTATAAAATCACTGGTTTTGCCCAGACCTGAGCCTGCAGCCCGCACAGATGCACACCCCCCTCACAGCAAAACACCATTTGCTAGGTGGTAAGAAAGGAGTTGAGAAAGTAAAGTCAGACAGACACACCAAAGGGGATAAAGGCTCTATTCCGTAATGATGGAGTATTTGGAGTTGTCTTTGCAGCAGAAAATTCCTCCCTGTGTAATGATTTCTGGTATTTGCTTTTACATCACGAAACACTTGTATAAAAAATAGGGCTACAGAAAACCCTAAGAGTAAGGATGTTTGTTTTAGCTCTAAAATAAAATGAATAGCTTTTAACTCCTCTAGCAATGACTCTTATTACTCTTATGTCCCCTGTTGCTAAGTCTTGATTTTACTGCAAGAGTGGTGACGGTCAGTATTTTCCTTAATCCCTGGATATATGAGATCAGGGGAAAAATCTTTGTTTCATCTAAATATTACCAAAATTGCAGGTTCTCTTTGTTGCAGAGAATGCTTTAAAATACAAATAAATTGCACTAATGTCAGGTCATTTTGCATTTCAGTTGCTTCTGGGAATTCTACAGTTTGGATTCATAGTTATTTATTTATCACAGTCATTAATCAGTGGTTTCACAACTGCTGCAGCTATCCATGTTGTGGTATCTCAGCTGAAATTCATGTTTCAACTAACGGTTCCTGGATTTAATAAACCATTTGGCATCATCTATGTAAGTATTAAGTGTTCAGTATTTGCTAATGTTATTGAATCCTATGAGGTATACCTGACAGCATATCACAAGGCAATAACAACAGATCTTAGCACGAACCAGCCAAGCAGGAGGAAGTGTAAGACAAAAATGCAAAAATATATGTTATTAGTATAAAAGTGTGATATTTAAATGTATTCTCGGGTAACCAGCTAGGCTAATTATATAATATTTTGTATTGTATGTCAGCATATTTTAAGTATGCATTCAGCTTTGCCTCAAGCACTCAATTTTTCACTTTTACTGGACTGATATTATATGTGCCTAAGCTGGATATGACTCCATGAGGCGTGTGGGATGAGAAAGGAAGGACGGGATGGAGGGAGGCACTCGTTCAGTAATTCCCATCTCTCACAGCTCCTGGCCTAACACACCACTCCTGGCACGGTAGGCAGAGTAAACACAATTCACTCTTCATGTCTTTCACGGCATGGACCTAAATATACCGCTTCCTTCTGTAGAGGTGAGACCAGGAGCGGGGAGGCAGGAGTCATTGGAAAGGGTTTTCCGTGGATGCTGTCATTGTTTGGATAAATACACGCGTGCCTTCACCGGGGCTTGCAATCCAAGCTGCATCACAAGGAATAAATCCCAACCACCCTGATCCTTAAAGCAATTTAGACACAGGTCCCCCCGGAAAGAATAATGCTACCATGTCAAGGCACTACTATTTCAAAAGCACCCTATATTTCTTCCTGATTTTGCAGACTCTGGAAAGCGTTTTTAGTCAAATCACAAAAACAAACATTGCTGACCTCGTCACATCACTCATTGTCTTGCTTATCGTGTTCGTGGTGAAAGAAGTGAACGATCGATACAAAGCAAAGCTGCCAACGCCCATCCCCATCGAGCTCCTTGTGGTAATGATCATTTCTCTTTGCTTTTGCAATAGCTCGATCACAATAGCAACATGGGAAGCTGCATTTTTAATGTTTCTTCTCCTGGACTGTATAAAAAAAAGAGGTTGTCTGAAATATTATGATTATGCTCTCTGCGTGATTTATGAGTGTAAAACTATCCCTCTAAGGCGGTTAAGGAATTATATCCGGGCAGCAAGTGAGGGTGCACACTTGGGGCATAACTCTGCTGCTAGTCTTGAGACTGGAGTGCGTGTGGGAGGGAGAAGGAAGTGTTTGCTAAAAGTTTCTTCATTCTCTTGTTTGACCGTTCCTAAAGGAGGTGGTTTGTATTGTCTTGCAGACAGTCTTAGCAGCGCTGATATCCTATTTTGCTAAATTTGAAGAAAAATTTAATGTAGCTGTTGTTGGAAAACTAGAAGAAGGGTAAGTGTTTTACTTTATGATTTACCAGCAGAGCAAAATGTTCTTTCCACTTCTTCAGTGCTGAATCATTTTGGTTATGTCTTTCAATTAAAATCATCTGCATCACCCTCTTTCAGAAGGCAAATAAACATTTTGCTTCCAATAACATCGGGACCCATTTTAAACAGCTAAAAGTTGCTTGCCAGAGCACATCCTCTATGCACTGAAGAATACATTTTTTTCTTTCATGAACTGCCACGTGAAATAAATAATGGGATGCCTCATTTTCCAAGACAGCAGTTGAGCAGTAGGTTGATCCGTGCCCCTGTGCTGAGCTATTCGCACCACACGGCCTCGCTTTCCCACGAAGTACGTGCATGGTTCGCAGCCACTGCCAGCCACGGGAAGGCGCTGCGCGGTCCCCGCCTGGTCCCTGCCACGGCCGTCACCCCGAGCACCTCCCAGCAGCATTTGCCTTGGGAGGCTCCACCAGGGAGAAATATAGGGGCAGCTGGAAGCTGGATAGCCTTCTTGAAGCAAAGCATTATTAAAGTGAAGGCATTTAGGAGAAAACAGATCTTTGAGGAGAAAGTAAAAGGGAGGGTTGCTTTGCCCCAGAAACCGAGGAGCACGTCACTGGGCTGCGACTGCCTTCCACTGCTGCTTTTCTGGGAGGCTTTGCGCACACACAGTATTTGTGTTGTCGTCCTGCTTGCTTTCCTTCTGCGTCTTCTTACATTAAAGCAAATAAGCAAAACCAATATCCTGTAAAACACCATACAGTAACTTCCTCCCAGTAGGGAAAACTAAGCTTCATGCTGCATTCTCTGTACTATTTGATTTATGATCTTAAATTATTATAGAGTATATCCAAGGATGTCAGAATTTTGGCATAAAAAATTAATAGACACACATTAAGGTAAAAAGGGAGCAAGATATTTATTGGGACAGCAGATTGAAGCGATTTGCTGAGGTATCTCAATAGCCTCAGCACTGGTAGCCCGGGGCGGCAGTGAAGGAAGCTGACAGAGGAACAGCTATTTCTGCCTAAGAGCCTCCATTCTTCAGATTTCAGTTCAGTGAGGAAAAAAAAGCCCAGTGAAGAATTCTTCCGAGGATCTGCAAAAGTGCTTGATCAAAGGAGCGGGAAATCTAGCAAGTAGCTCTACAGACTAACATGACTTAGCAAATATTTGCTGAGGTGTCTAAAGTACTACAATGAACCGTGTGTGTATTTTTTCTGTCCCCATCCAATGAAATCCCTCCCTGTGCACACTACCTGTGCAAGGGCCTCAGCACCATGCCAGACCCTAAATCAATGCATAGTTAGAAGGCAGAACTGTGCATCCACCTTAGACAAAATAAGCTATGGCTGGTCCTGGCCAAGGAGATGAGAACTTGCTGAGACACAAACTAAGCTGAATGCAGATGAACAGAGAGTTTCTGTCCCCGACAAAGTTTCTCCAAAGTTCAGGGTTCAGATCCACAGTTATGTGCCCCATCTCTCCAAAGTGCACAGTAAAGGCACTATGAGATAGGCTGCCACCTTGCTTACTTGCTTGACAAGTTGTCTCCTTAGACATATTCTTAATGAGCAGGGGTTTTGTCTTTCAGATTTCAATCTCCTGTTGCACCTGATATAAATGTCTTCCAAAGGTGTATAGGCGACAGCATTTCCATTGCAATCGTTGGGTTTGCAGTAGGCTTCTCAGTGGCCAAAGTGTATTCCATCAAGCATGACTACCCACTAGATGGCAATCAGGTAGGCAAGTAACTCAATGCTGTGTATTAGTCAATGGGGAATAAGTCATTTTAGGAATGCTTTGCCTTGTGAATAACTGTCATGAACTGTCTTTTAAGGACAATCATCTCCTTTGTTTTTATTCCAGGAACTAATTGCTTTTGGGTTGGGTAATATAGTTGGAGGATCATTCAAAGGATTTGCCTCCAGTACAGCGCTGTCGAGATCAGGTGTGCAGGAGAGCACAGGAGGCAAAACCCAGGTACAGAAGATAAAAGATCATAATGGCATTTAATGTGAGAAAGCCCTGACTTTCGCTGGCTGACCCTGCAGCCTCAGGGCACAGATTCACAGTGGAATTGTTTTCTCATACAGATTGCTGGTATTATCTCAGCTATCATCGTCCTGATTGTGATCTTGGCCATTGGGTTTCTCCTGCAGCCATTACAAAAGGTATTCACTGGTTTCACCTAGCGCTTCTTCCTGCTCACCAGACAGGACTACTGCAGAAGGAGTCAGCAGGAGATTTTATAGACTCCAGTGGGAGAAGAACAGCATTTGGCAAAACAAGGTTCTTTTCCCCAAACTGTGAAAGAGAGGACCATAGATGTGAATGTGCCTACACACAGAGACAGAAGTGGTCGGTAGCTTCCTCACTGAGGTGCCCTGTGCGGGGATGAGATGACCATAGGGTGTGATAGGAAAAGACTCTCCAAGAGGTGTCCGAGTCCTCTTGTGCAGTGAAAAGCTATCACTGGTATGCAAGTATCATTCCTACTTAAACTCCACAGACGTCTCCTTTATAGCGGTTACTGTAGAATCCCATCAGATTTTATTGGGGATGTTCTGTAAGAGGTGAGGGACATGAAGCAGTCTTGTATTTTCCCTAGAAGGACACTGCACTAAAGTTGAAACCAGTTTATCTCCGAATGGTGAAAGTGAGGAACATGAAGGTAGTCAGAACCAGCCATAACCAATCTCAGGCCAGACCCTCAAAGGGAACTCAGGTGCCTGGACACCAAACATTGCAGCACCAGCTTTTAGCTGCCAAAAATTTACAGTCATGAGTCAGGTCCTGTGCCACACTGTGGCTAGGGAGATTCCTGTGTGATGGAAAGGTGCATCCTAACTCATAGTAGTGATGCAACAGGAGAAGCTGCCCAACCTTTCAGCTGTGCTTTGATGCTTTTGATATGATCTTTTAAGTCTTAACACCCAACATTTGCTTTGCTTGTCTTACAATGCAACATTCTGGTCTTTTTTTAACAGTCAGTCCTTGCATCTTTGGCTCTTGGCAACTTAAAAGGAATGCTCATGCAGTTCAAGGAAATAGGCGTCTTATGGAGAAAAGACAAGTATGACTGTGTAAGTGGAGTCCCACACGCGTTCAGGAGTGAAACACTACAGAAAAGTCATTTATTTTGCAAATTTCCTGAAAGGTTATCTTTATTTCTATACCTACCTTGCTTCCCTAAGTGGAAATCACAGCAGTAGCATGCCTTTTCATTCTCACACTCCTTGTTTCCGTTTTCCATGTTGTCTCACCTATTTTCAGTCAATTCTTTCTGCTCACTTCGCTTTTCTACATTCATTTGCATTGATTTCATCAAAATACAATTCTGCATTTAAAGTCAAATACAGAAAAAAGTTGTATAAAATGTCTACATAACTAATGCATTGGCTACATATTCCCTTTCATATACACATGTAGCTCCCACTATGGTTAAAAAAAAAAAAAAAAAAGGAAACATGAAACCACTTTCCAAAGGCATGGGGCCCACCCAGATCAGAGCTGAGACATCAGTTCAGACGTTCCTGCTCCCACTCCAGGCTCCTGATGCAGGTCGGTAACACATGGGTAATCTCGAACCTCACCTCTGCTTGTTGCAGGCCATATGGGTGGTGACGTTCTTGGCCGCCGTTTTCCTCGGCCTGGACATCGGGCTGGCGACTGCTGTGGCCTTCCAGCTGCTGACCGTGGTCTTCCGCTCACAATTGTGAGTATCTGCTGAATGAGACCGTAAAATACCTCTGGGCCTCAGGGTATAAATAATCTCCCCTCAGACAGCGAAGGCCAGGGTTCATGTGCCTTGGTCTGTCAAGCAACAGTGTGTAAAAATCAATTTTGCATGTAAACCGTTGAATGTAGGATCCCACTTCAGCCCAGCAGCAGGCCCCTTGCTTTCCCACGGGGTGAGCAGGGTGCTGCCAAAGGGCCGGGCTAAGCCCCTTGGCAAGCTGAGTCCGGGTAGGTACTCTGGCTGCCACAGGGCTCCCTAGCCAGGTTGCTGCATATCTGAGAAGTAACATGTTCATCTTCACTCGATTGATGCTGCAAACTGCCGCAAACCCTGCATTGAGATCCCCGAAAGAAACCAGCCGGTGGTGTTTGTGAATAAAGAAACGTTCCTAGCTGTATGCATGCTAAACACCACAAAACACAAGTAAGTTGGTGAGGAAAAAAGGGTATTAATAGTGGCTCCTTTGATGTGGCTCTGTGTACAAGGCCAGGCTAGGGAGGGCTGCCAGACGAGGCCAGTGCTCACCTGGGAGGTCTCAAACACAGGCAGGTACAAGTGATCTGGCACGGCCATCGGGCTGCACTAACTACAGTAACTATTATTCCGGCGACAACTCACGTGAATAATTGCTTACTGGCTTGAGGAAAAGGCTCACAGTCTGACCCACAATCAGACATGAAATCAAAATCTAGCAACCTTGTCAAAATCGAACAGTATGGCTTGCTGTCAGTATTGTCACGCTTGAATGAAATCTTCCCCAAGATGCAGTCGGGGATGTTAATGTCTGAAATCATTCACAAAGGAGCGTTTCAGCTTTGCAAAGGAAATTTTCACCCCACAATTATTATTTTACCACCCATACTGAGGTCGCTTTGTCCGATCCTCAAACCACACGACAATCACACAGCAAATGGGGTTTCAGCATGATCCCCACCTTCCAGGTTGCAGTAGGAGGTTCGAATAACTTCATGTGTGTTTGTTTGCAGTCCAAGCTGCACCGTTTTGGCTAACGTTGGAAGAAGTGACATCTACAAAAACAGGAAGGATTACACTGATGTGAGAAATTTCATATTTCTTTTATTATATCTGTTGCTTTTGTGTTTCTCTAAGAGATGACATTAGTGATACCATTGCTTCATTATACAGATCTATGAGCCAGAGGGAGTGAAGATTTTCCGATGCTCATCTCCTATCTTCTTTGCTAACGTTGAATTCTTCCAAGAGAAACTCATCACTGCTGTAAGTGTTTGGCAATCATTTTAAATAGATGAACTGCATGAACCTTGCCCATATGACTGGAAAGAAAAGCCATGTGAGATGCTGCGTCCTTCCCTGGTGTCACCGGGGTCTTGCCCTGGACCTTTTAGTGTCTCAGAGAGGCCACGCCACAGGAGCGAAGCACCAAAGATACAGACTAAAGATGCAGGCCAGCCTCGGGCCTGACCCCGGTCCCAGTTTCACCAGTGCTCTCCTCTCAGTGTACAGGGTGCATGGTGGCACCAAGTCCCCTTGGCAGAGGAGGGGGATGGCAGGCCAGGCTGGGCTCCATAAAGACAGAGAAGGGGTGGGCACTGGCAAGCAGCTGCACAAAGGGCTCCTTTTCAGAGTAAAACAGCTCAGAAAGGCATTTCTAAAGCATAAACACCACCAACTTAAAGCTAGTAAAGGAACATGAAAGAAATGTCTTTCTTACAGAAACTCTGTGCCTGAGTGTTAATGCACTGTAATTAATTCAGCTAAGGATATTTGTTCATTTATTTTTCCTTGCGTCTTTATCCAGTAGTTCACTGGTGCTTTCTGAACTGAACATCATGCTTTTTTGATATGGTACTGGAATTTTGGGGTAAACATGAAGAACATTCAAAGTACTGTTTCTGCAGGTCGGCTTCAGCCCGTTGAGAGTCCTGAGGAAACGCAATAAAGCTCTGAGGAAAATCAGAAAGATGCTGAAGAAAGGAGACCTGCAAGTGACACCTGTATGTAAATCAACTCCACTAAATGCAGCTCGGCTGGATGTAAAAAGGGCAATACCTAGGGGAATTAAGCAACCCGCTCTTTAGCTTGTAGTAGCTGAGAAGTGCCTCACAGCCTCCTTCTCCTGTGTCCTAATTCGATATACTGTTCCCCAAATTGCCACTTCGAGACCTAAACACAAATTTCAGAAATAAGATTTTACGTGGCTGTCATCGCTAGAGACCCACAGCCACACCACGGGCAGAGCTTGTGTGTCCCCAGCGGACGTTTGCTTGGCTTCAGATGGCAGGATCAGATCACAGAGAAGCAATGTTCATGCTGAACTAGTGACAAGATAAAGTTGATTTTCTCTCAGCCCAAATCTTTCATGCCTTCTGTTGACTTGTTCCAAAGCCACTGAATCAAAGGGCATATGACCATTGGCTTTAGGAACAATATATCCTCGTGGAAAATAAAAGGCAGTGCTTAATTAGAAGAACACCAACATTTCCAAACTGCTGCAAATCCAGGGGAAGCAGAACTTTCTCTAGTATAAAGCAAAGGTAGCTCCTGCTCCATCTGACGGTTTTGCATTGCCACAACTCTCACGCTGGTATAGGATGCACTCTCCACCCTGGGCAGGGTCAGTAGCATTAACTGTAACGCTTTCCTCCTTTGACATAGAAAGGCTTGATTTGCATGGCTAACCATACACAAGAGTCTGATGAAGAATTAGACAACAACAGGATAGAGGAGTTGGACCAGCCCACTGACCTGACGGACTTGCCCGTTCAGATAGACTGGAACGCTGACCTCCCTCCCAACATCTCCGTGCCCAGAGTGGACATCCACAGCGTCGTTCTAGACTTCTCAGCAGTGTCCTTCCTTGATGTTTCTGCCATGAGGATCCTCCAAAAGGTAGTTCTAATTCACAAGGCAGACGGACAGTGAGCATATAAAAGAAAAATGTATGAACGCAGTAAGCTTCTTAAAGGTATTTCTATATGGATTGAAAAATCGGTGGCAACCTTTCAGTTACTGTTAATTTTAATATACATTTTCCATGGAAAATGTTTAGGATATAAGGATATAGTACTGTCTAATTATAGGAGAGTAAAAAAATTGCTTGGAATTAGAGCATCATTGGTGGCTCTGGCACCTTTTCTTCAACTAGTAACATTTTGGGAAGTTTTACAGAAATGTACATATGAAATATGGCTTTAAATATAGGATTGGAGATTAAAACACTGGAGTGTCATTTTTGCTCTTGCTGTCACTTTCCAGGGCAACTTTGAACAAAGAAATAAGGATAACATTTTCAAGCAGTGGTAGCCACAGTGAAATATTTAAATGCAGCTACAGTTAAATATTTAAATGCACAATTAGGTGCATGACTCTATTTACATAGGAACTAAACATCCACTGTGTATGGTGGAAACTAATTCTACTTGAAGTTCTAGTTAGAAAAGTCTCTCCAGAACCTTCTGGAGTCTCAGTTTCCTCATGTGTAAAGCAGGTACAATAAAGCCATACAATTTACAAAAGATCTTTTTCACCACGTGCTAAATGTATTTAATGCTGCCCCTTTTCAAAAGGATCAGTCACCCCTGCCTGCAGCCAGACTCCAGGTGCAGCAGGGTTTGGATTTAGAGCTCTTTACCATTGTTCAAAATGCAATTGATATCTTAAATTTGCCAGGATATCTGCAGTAGCTAACTACTGTAATATCTGTTAATAGCAAAAATAACAGTATGTAAATGCTACTTGTTTTCTCTTTAACAGACTTTGAAAGAATTTGTCCGCATCGACATAGATATTTACATTGTGGCGGCCCATGGTGAGTTCTTGCATTTCCATCAGTCTCTAGTTAGTTCTACCTCGTCTCACTGCCTTCCCCGTCCACCCTAGGGCAAGGCTGAAAAGGACCAACCCAATTTTACATTTCAGTCACAGTCCAAACCATCTACCCACACCCGCAATGAAGTAATCCTGGAGACACCTCCTATGCTGATCCTGCCAGAAAAACCACAAGCCAAACTATACAATCTTGAAATGAGATGAACGTTTCAAATGTGGTGACCAAGAGCAGGATAAACAGCCATGGAACCAAGAGCTGTAACTCCAACATCCTCCAAGCTTTTTTCCTTCCAGTTTCCTCCTTTATAGCTCTCTCCCCCTTCCCCTCTCTCACACCCTACTATGAAAAGCCATTTCTCTGCTTCTCATGCCCCTATTTCCCCGCTGGAGCAAGTGCCCCATCCTGCAAAAGTGAAGAGCTGTGCTGTCCTGAGTCTTGCCTGGTGGCTGCTGCATCTGAACCTTCAGCTAAGGAAAAAAAACACAGGTAGCCACAGGATAACAGCTGCAGCTGAGGGGAATCATGATTTATCTCGTGCCATCTGCAATGGGCTGTGGCAGCCACCTGTGAAGGTGCATTTTGCCTACAGCTGCCCAATCTGTGCCTCCCACCTGTGGGCAACAAGAACCTGCTATCAGGTGGCTTAGGTTAGGCATTAAATAAGAGATGGGGCTCAAAGTCTCTCCTGCTTGGGGCAGCATTAATGGAGGTTTATATCCCATCCTCTCTACATCAATAAACAGGAACCCATCTGCGATAATAAATAAAATAGTACACCTAACCAGAAGTTCCTTCATGTTCACTCAGTTGCCGTGTTAAGGATATATCATTTCTTCAGTTTCAAGGCACACCACTTTGTATTTCAATTATGTTCCCCTACAGAGGGCTTTGTGGACAAACTGGAGAGAAGCGCATTTTTTGACGAGGAGATTAAGCCATCTATGTTTTTCCTTACCATTCATGACGCAGTTTTACACATTTTGCTGAAGAAGGACATAGCCAGCTCACCAAAATTAAAGCCCACTGAGGTAACTCTACAGTTTTCATCTTTTGCTACGTTAGTGCCTTTACATTACTCACAGGTCATTTATTTAGCTTAGTGGTACCCAACAGTGATCTGCGTATCTAGCCCTACCCCCTCTGCAGTGTCTGAATTCAAAAAGTTAATGACTGGAATTGAGCTGGTCTCCCAATAGATTTGGAGAGTAACCGTGGCCCTTGGTCCAGGTGCCTAGCAAACCACTACTTTAGTTCACTGAAAGGAGTGAATAACCTGGAGGCAGGCCTCACAGTGGATTTCGCTTCAAGCCACCTCCTTGGGAGCCCTGGTCATGTGGACCTGGCGGATCTGGCCAGCGCAGGGTACTTGGAATCAGTATATAATTTTACATACTTTGAATCAGTATCCAATCCTACTTAGTTAAACTGGCCAAGCTTTTCTGCCCTGACTCAGAGATCTGTCAAGGGGGCACAAAGGGTTGACAGGTGAGAGCAGCTTCCTTCCTTCCTTCCTGGTTGACTCCTTTGATGTGAAAAAAGGTAAAAGGAAAAAAACAAACAAACAAGGAACATCCCAGTTCCTAACCCGAAACATCTTGTGTTCGCTGCAGGAGAAGGGTAGCAACAACCATTGCGTTATCAACACTAGCGGGGGATTGCGCAGCCGGGAGAACACGGTAAGACTCCTGGTTCCAGCAGTGGCACTCCAGCCCCAGCCCTGTAGGAAATGCCATCCCCAAAAGCTGCCCACAAGAACTGCAAAGTCAGATAACAAAACCTTCTGCATCGCTGGGCTCTTGCTTCAGCCCAGGGCAGAAGCCATCCTAATAGTTTATTAACGGGACTTGACTTAAGGCAAAGCATTACAAGAGTAAGAAACATACAGCTCTGCTCACAAGACGCTCTCCCTGGCCTTACCTGCTGGCAGCAGAGGTAATCTGCAGAGGGAGGCTGGGCGACGGCTGTTTCGCGGGGCTCTCCCACCAGCCTCCTCGCCCGTCCATCACGGCTCTCTTGCTAGGGGCTCACAAGCCTCTGGCAGCCCGTTCACATGGCAGACTTCAGCATTGCTCCCATTCACCTAAACGCCACAGGCAGAAGGGGGAGGGGGGGGTTGGCGACAGGAGATTGATTAGAAGGGTAGCTTTCGGCCACTTTCTTGTAACAAAGAGAAAAGCACAAGCCAGAAAATGGCAGCCCCATAAGGAGAAAACAGGCAGAATACAATACAGAAATCTAGAATGCTAGACAAAAGCCTTCCCAAAAATCTTCCTACTTTGAAGTAGCAAATTCTTACATATTGCTCACTAAAAAGTGCATACGCTGGTTATTCTTCATCCAAAGTGACATTTATTTCTACGTCTTTCCTACAGATTTCAAGAGAAACAAAATTTTAGATTGAATATTCTAAATATTATATCATCCAGCAATACAGTGTCACTTAACAGAAGGTGACGATAGATGCAGTAATGCATGAAGACTGATGGATACTTTCGTATACTTTACGAAGGATTTACTACATAGGATTATGTTCCAAGTTTTGGAATGGGCCTGTTAGTGTTTACGTGTGTGTTTATATAGAAAGATGTATTTATGTACATACATGGAGGCTAAAATGACATGGATTTCCTTATTTCGTACTTCACTGACAACCTCCTCACACAGTTAAAAAAGCAAGTAACGTTAACTCTATTCACGTGTGCTTGTATATAAGGTCTGCATTATTCTGACAGTCTGTAGACAACCTGTACAGTTACTAGAGAACATATAAATATTTTAAACGTAATTTATATCATGCAGTCTAATAGTTGGGAGTGATATTTTATCTTCAACTTGTGTATAATTTGTATAAAGTTTTCTTTAAGGCTTGTAAGATATCTAGTAGACTGAGTCATTAGACTCGTCAGCTCACTTCCATGAGTACAGCGTGCACAGTGACGTACATGTCTACAGTACAACATGAAGATTCAGTAAAGAATTACAGCATTTTCAGATCCAAACACGATTCTTTTATTTGGTTTGGGTTGATATAAAATGCATATGACAGGACATAGGACACAAATATATTTATACTGAACTATTAAATAATGATTTTAGTAACTATCTTTCTTGCTATATTTGTGAATATACCAGTGTGGTAGCTCATAGTCAGTCTGGTTTCTTGCTACAAGACAAAATTAACAGAGATCTGAAAACTTAAAGGAAAATAGAAATGGCAATTCAACTTTGGCTGGGTCCATTTGGATAACAAGGATAGTTCCAGTGAATCCCATGGTGAATCAGTCTTCCTATCTGCGTTATTGATTTACATCACTTCAGTTGGTAGTGGCAGAGAGCTCAAGAAAGTTACTAACAAATTGCAGCCTGAAATCTAGGTAGGGAATGTGGCAGTTTTCTTTCTGAAAGCTTTTCATCTCCCTATTTGCATGACAGGCAGCCCCAATATGTGTATCATTCAGCGAGCAGACAGGCACACCAGCCCCAGGACCCAGCTCAGGTGGAGCTGTGAGTTCAGAACTGCCAAAAGGCAGGCTGTTTCCAAGGTCTCTTGGACATATGTTCGAAGGACTTTAAGTTGAAAGAGTCCATTCTGTCCAGAGGCACAACTGCCTTCGATTAACACCTTCAATTACTTTCAAGTCTAAGACTTGAAGCTGAACTACAGCGCATCTTCTACAGAGGGGAAAAAAGGCGGGGGCAGGGGGAAGCCAAAACTTCTAATTTAAATGTGGCCAGCGCTGGAGATATAAAAATCTTCAAGGTAGAGGGAAAAGGAACCGTCACGGGACTCTGAAAGAAACGGCAGTGCGAAATCACAAGAGTATTTTATTTTTCAAGTTTAGGCTTGACTTCCAAGTCAGGGGTGATGAGAACAGTGCATTTGGGCTTGTGATTAAGATATTGGGGAGGAAAGAAGAAAGCGCTCTGGGTAACCAAGAGCCATGATTTTTATCTCAGCAGTCCACTGTGATTATCACCGAAGGCCTTCTCTCCCCCAACATTTCAGGCCTTCGGTGATAATCACGGTAAGAAGTTACACACTACTTATTACAAATACCAAATGGATAGTAGGCAGTTGTACTCGCCACTGCTTTTTTGAACTTGCCACAGCAGTCATGCTGCTTAAATCAAGTAGGTGTAACGTCTTCCAAGTACAGCCAGAATGTTGCTGAGCTGCCTATCTGATGCGGCATTGGAAGAAATATGGATTGTATCAGAACAGATTTTTCCAGAAGAATGAGAAAGATACTAGCGCTATTGTACAATGCACAGATGAGATCTCATTTGAAATACTCTGAAATTCAGTAGAGTCCTCGCGTTCAAGAAAGATGAAGTCATCCTGAAACTAATGTGAAGAGCTATGAGGATGTTTGCAGAAGAGAGAGTCTGTATTCAAGAGCTGACAAAAAGAGCTATAGATACGTCAGGAATTTAACTCAGGAGAGAAGAAAAGCTATGCAAGATAAAAAGTATCTATTTTATCAAGTATTTTAAAGAAAAAAAATTTATATAAACTGGCAGAACATAAACTTAGGCTAGAAATTAGAAGTCGGTCCCTACTTTTTACAATGTTGAGGTTCTGGAGTAGCCTTTCTGAATGGAAGAAGAGGAGCAAAAAACCTAAATTACTTCTAAGGTGAGGCTTGACATTAATTATGGAAATCATGATACCGCATCATACCAGTGGTGGTGGAATCTAGATTTTCTGACTCAGGCAGTTCCTTCCAGTCCTGTGCTCACATATAGACTCAGGTAAACAATGCCCCATGTATTAACTACAGAGTACAACTGGAAAAATCAGAACGTCAGAGTGCGCTCCACTCCCTACCCAAGTGTCTTGGCAAAGTTAGTTCAACCGCTCTGATTTCTAACAGCATGAAAAATATAAAACTGTGATTTAGCAGAGCATAACCCTCCCTTCTAAAACTATACACCATTTCCTAAATAGACGTGAGACCCAGACAGCCTTAACCAGGGCCTTGCAATCCCAAGTCACATGTCCCAGCTACTTGTCATACTGTTAATCACCCTACTCCTTATTTTTGTGCTGACAATAGCAACATCATATTTCTGACGTTTTACCTGATTTCACCCTCCAGGTGTTGATTGTTTCTGCATTCAAGTCTCTGTTACTCACTTAATACTAATGTTCCTCTTTAGTAGTTTACCCTCTTCCAGATTATAACACATTTATCTTGCTCCAATTGTGGGATACGGTGGTCGCGCAGATTGACTGGCTCAATCTTGAGAGAAGGACCACTGGAAACCCAGATCTTCCATGAAGCTCTGTTGCTACTTGTTCAGACTAATATCACGCACTGCTTCTCAATCCTTTACTCAAGGATAAGCTACAAGGCAAACTGCATACCCGTTTTCTTTTTGGAGAGCTGACAGGTTTCGTTCCAGGAGAAAAGGTCATAGCTGCAGTGGGAGACTCTTGTCTCGTATCCTCCATGCTCCACTAAACTATACAATCACAGCAGCGCAGAAAAATACTTTTTTTAACATATGTACTGAAAACATTATTTGAAGGGCTAAGAACGATCAAATGACATAGAATTTGTATGGAAAGTTAGTGGTGCTGAGACTGTTCTCAAGATCAGCCACCTCCCAAACCCTTGAACCTGCCCTCTATAACAGCCTGATATAATAAGACTTCAGATATGTTTTGAGGAGTGGGAAGGGTCAACTGTGTCAATGTACCAGCAGATATTCTGAGCTTCAATCTCAGCACAGTGCCAACGCTTGGAAACTAAATGATAGCCAGCTTACAGCCAGCAAGGGGGATGGAAAATACAGAAGCCATGGAGCTTGAGATGCTCAAACCTACCCTCACGTCTGGTTTTCACTTTGCAATTCATAGGAGATGGCCTGTGTGAATCAAATACAAAGACAAAAATCTCAAAGTCAGTCATTCAAGGACTGGGGCATTGTAACATGCGTTCTTCTCAAACACAAACTAAATTTCTGTTAAGGAAAAAAGATCTCTAAAGCCTTGTTTACGTGAAAAGAAACCTAGATCACAATTTTCTGTTCCTCATCCCTGTGCTAAAAGTAGACAGCTTTCTTTTCTCACTGTTCTTTACAAACCTCACCTCTGCTCCCCTATGCTTCCTATTACAGTAACTGAAAGTTCACCTGATACAGAAATGGACAAGAAAAAGCACAAAAGCAGTCATTAGTACTTACGTAATTTTATTATTAGTGTAAGAAATCATTAGCTGTAATTGATTTTGGAGCTGTGCTCAAGCACTGTTTTTCACAAATAAAACTGAATAAAATTCTGTAGACTACATTCACATCTACTTAAAATTTTTTCATTTTTTTCTAAGCAGTTAAGTTCTGTTTTGAAACACCACACAAAAACGGAAACTTTCCTGCCCATTCGTGTACACTCACTATCATTCTTCCCCATTAACAGAAAATGTGTACTACAATGTCCCATTAGCACTGAAGAATCAATTGTGTTCTATTATTAAAATGACTGACAAAAGTAACAGGATGACTGAGCCAATTTAACAGTTTCCTGCTGCTATTCCACCCACTTCTCTCTCAAGCCGTGTTGGATTTTTTCATCTTTTGTCTCGTACTTATCAACCGAATCAAAACTGAAAACAATTTTCAAAAGTCCCCAAATTTAGAGAGAAGAAGATACGATTCAGAGTAGGAAAAGCTTCTAAGTTCACATTGTTTTATGGCTAAGTCAAGACTAAAAGGAGCTTTAAACTTTATTATTCTTATTCACAGCAACCAAATAAATGCAGCTAGTTCAGTTTACAAACTGGTCAGTACGAGCTATGAACGTGAATATGAAATACCTGAACACACTGAAGAACCAGCTATGAGGGCATCGTTGCTACACACAAAGATGATTTAATAGCAGCTAAGAACTGTTTTTAACAGCATAAAATAAAATACAGTGGAAATACAACTTACATAACACTGAAATTTCCTTTCAGAGGTAGAGTCAAGACGAAAATGAATATAAACGTTGCACAATCCTCTGCATAACGCTTTGGATTTTGTAGTGTCATATATATGAACAGGAAACGTTCAAATTGTATTTCATACACATTTAATATTAAGTTGAAATTTTACTCCATTTCACTCCTACAGTTTGCCAGGCTTGAAAGGTGCCTTCCAATGAGAAACTGTACGTACTTTGTCAGCAACACAGTAATGAACCCAGAGGGAAACAGCACAAAATTAGATAAAAGTTTTACACTGTACAAAACATTTTAAAAACAGAGATATGTGTTCAAACTCGATCCACAGAGAAAGCATATCCATGAATTTGCTTTTGGGAACACCTGACTTTACATCATACAGATGACAGGCAGGTTTTCTCCATTGCTATGTCTGCAAAATGTAATACGCAATAAAAACAAGTACTTCCATTTTATTTTTTGACAAAATGAATTTGTCATTCCTTCAAGAGCAATAAATGAAAACAAGCAGAAATTCCCCCTATTAAGGTTTTGGCTACTAGAGTTTAAAACTCTCTTAGATCAGACCTAAAAAGAAATTCACACCTTTCATTTTTCTTTTTTTAAAAGGATGTGAAAAATATCACTTAACACCTGTAGATACCCAATCTTCAAGTCAATAGCTTTTCAAAAAGCAAAAATAAAGAACTTGCTCATACACTTAGCTTGCCTGTTTTAAAATATGCATTGTTGCAGACAATCCGTTAAGCAAAGTTATACATGGAATTGAAGACAAAGTTTAAGAAGACAGGTATCTAAATCACTGACATATTCAGGATGTCTGCTAGTGTCCCTTTACTAAGTTCAAAGTGGACACAAACTATCATCAAGCTCCTTCTCATTCAGTTATATAGTATTATTACAGGATCCTACAATGGCTAACAAACTTAAAATGTTGTCAGAGTTTTCCTTAACACCTGAGAGCTACTTGGTAATGCTTCGTGAGGGAGACTGCTGCCACAGATAGGGCTATTTATTTGCAATAAAACTAATTCAATTCAAATATTTCACTTTTGTCTTTAAAAGAAGACATAACTAGGAATCTGAAGAATTCACAAGCACCTCTCTCTGTTTCTAAGACTGTTTAAGTATACAGCGAAATATAGCATATGGCATTTCTGAACTTCCCACTGAAACAATCAGATATTTTGCAAAAAAAATCAAATCCCATAAAAAAACTCAAAATAACTGTTAACAGAAGGTTTTCACCAAGGAACTATTTAACAGAAATCTCTTACTTAAGAGCTTGCAAGTATGAAAGCATGGACAGTACCCTCAGTTACAAAGATGCACTTAATACAGAGATGTAAATAAAAAAATTCAGGTCTTCCTTGTAAGCAGTACATGGAAATTTGACCCGAGTCCAAATCCCGCCTACATGAGACGACCTTTCAGTAAGTCCTCCATCACAATGACTTTCGATTCATGGTCGTTAAACAAGGGATCCCACTGATTTTAGGGGGAGTAGCGTGTCACCCTCCAGTGATCAAAATGTCACCTTTCCCAGCCTCGACAATAACCAAAAAATTCCTCATTCATTCTCCACAGTGACATACATTTACCTTTAGTGCTTTCAGGTGGAGCAAGGGTTGCTGTTTTCTCTTAATCTAATAAACTGCTTCAGCATTTTCAGAGAAGTATTTTACCAATAACATCAGGAAAAAATCAGTGGATCCAGAATGACCAGGTTTGAACCCTTCTTCACCTGCTTCACAAGAGACTGGGTAATATCTAATAAAGACATGCAACCGGACCGATTTCTAAAAACTAGGAGCGTGATGGAAATAGTTGCTTACTTCCTTGTCATCTGCAGTTCACAGATAACAGCTGACTTTAGAACATCTGCTTTTGCAGAATAGAGTGCACTGGTTATGTTGACCTACCTCCCCACGCAAAAGCCTGCCAGCTGACATCCTAGTAAGTCTACGTGTATTACCTTCTTAGCCTATACAAAATGAAGCTGGTATCTAGAACCACCACTAAGTCCATTTGAAAACGGTTCATCAAACAGAAGCTGGCCTTTAGAGAGTCGAGTAATATTGGTCACTTTAAGACATGGGGATTTCCTAGTAGATGAAATTATATGCTGCAATATAAACCTGCCTAAAGCTACTGCCTACTGAATCATTTAACAATAACAAAAGGAAGCACTTTAAAGTTCTTTACATATTTATTATAAATTACTGAAACAAAATAATGGTGACAGAGTGATTTTCTCCACCCACACCAAAACAGTCACTTCTCATCAATCCTGTACGGTAGCATTCGACCAGAGTCTTTTTCTTTGCCGTTTTATTTAAAATGACTTTTTTCAATCTTCAGAGAAGTCAAAACAAAGTTAGTCCGATTCTTAGAAATAAGCATATTACAGCTAAGCAGATTTTTAAGCAGTTGACACTTACTGACCGTTGGTATACCTCAAAGTTCATTTGCACACCTCTAAAGATTTGTCATGCATCTACATTTATTTAAAAGGTAGTCTAAAAGATTTGCCCATAGTCACGAGGAAATCAATGGCAGTCAAGGACAGAGAGCAAATCTAAAGGGCACTTGCTCTGGTAATTAGAAAATATGGAGTTTGTATGTAAAATTACAAAATTTGGAATGTTGCACCACCAAGGCTCTTTGACAAATTAAACTAACGAGGCAAGAAAAAGAGGTTTACAAAACAAATAGTAGCACTAAGGGTTTGAGAAGACCGTAAGGTTATTTGAGAATAGTAGGAAATTACAAACCTTAAAGAAAAAAAAAAACAGGATTTTTTTCTATCTGAAAGCACCACTGCTAGAAAACTGACATTTCTAAAATAAAAAAAGTTCAGCACTAACACTGATTTGAAATGCAAAGATAAGCATTCCAAACAACAACAGACGGCACTGTCTTATCATTGTCTGGTTCTGCCACCAGCTGCATTACAGAGAACATTCACATCTTACATTTATTGTATTTGTATTTAAGAGTGTGCTTATAAAACCTAAATTTTAGATCAAAACAAGTCTCCTTAAATATCCACTTTAAAAAAAAAAAAGACCTCTATATGAACCATTGCCTGTTCAATTAAATCTATCTCACAAAACTGAAGCAGATAAAAGAGTTTGTAGGGTTTATTTTTATTTTTATTTTTATTTTTAGATCTACACAGCAGATTTCAGATCCCTTCTTTCAGACTATCAAAATGGGAAGTTTTCCTACTGTACATATTATATAAAGTGACAGAGGCAAATGCCACCTCCCTCCAAAAAATAATCCATTTCTCTCACAGACATGGCAAGTCAGTCCATGGCCACTTCCACACAAACATATCCATAAGTAAACACAATAGTTTGAATTCAACATCAGTGAGGAGTGTACATGTAAACAGAACCTTCTGAGCCAAAACTGAACTTCTAAAAAAAAAAAAAAAAAACAAAAAATCCCCAATATATTATGACATGGTTTCATGTCATGCCCAAAGCTGCATTTCTGATGTATTTATTTTGCTCTGATATTGCAGAATTTGTTTCAAAAAGTGAGATGCAGTATTTTGCATATCTGATTTCTAGTGCCATGAATTCATAATAGCCCGAATTCACTATAAGTAATGGTAACTGTAAATATAAGAGACATCACGGTTTCCTTACTCTTTCATTACGCTGCCCATTTGGAAAGTATTAGTACCGAAACACTGTCCAGGAACGCTGTCTGTGTTAACTTCTCATAGAAGCCCAACACTTTTACAACCATGTTTCAATTCAATTATCGTACACAGGTTAACAAAAATGTATCACAAGTGAAACTAAACATTGGATTTAACAAAAACAATATTCAGACTGGTACAACGCATGTTCATTTTTTCCAGGAAGTAATATTACAAGTGTTCATCTTAGGACAATTTAGCCACACTAGCGACAGAAGTTCTGTTAAAACGCAACTGTGGTCTACTAAGCCACTTCTTTTAGCACTACAGAATATTTGAAGTTGGAGTCCTACGGCCAAGGCTTAAAAATTATTTAAGATTCAAACCCCAAAATGTCTTACAGTCAAAATGACAGTATCTAAAAAAACAACCCCAAAACATTAATTAAAAGACTGTTGTATATAGTTTTATCCTCTTCATAGCACTCTCTATTCATATAATTGCTCATATCACTGATAATAGGGTCTGTATCTGGCTTGATCAGGGTGGTGTGGTCCAGGAAGTGGGGCTTGAGCAGGAGGCCCTTGCATTCTCGGAGGTGGAGGTGGCCCTCTCGGAGCGGGCCAAATCCCTGGACTCATCCCCCCTGGCTGTGTGAAAGGGGGGCTGAGAGTTCCTTGATCTTCACTGAACTGTGGCAAAGAGTTAGGATTATAGTGATGGGGAGGGGGAGCATTTACATTTACAGGTGGGCCTCCATGTTGAGGAGGGGGAGGTCCTGGAGGAGGATGATTCATATACGGTGGCATCTGGGCAATTATATGTCCAGGTGGTGGGGTTATTGGAGGAGGAGCAGAGGTCATTGGCGGTGGAGGAGCTTGGCTATATACCATGTGAGGAGTACCTGCTGCCTGAGGAGGATGCTGCAGTGGATGGCTTATCGGTGGAGGTGGTGGGGGTGGTGGTGCATAATGTTGCTGAGGAGGCATAATATGATGAGGGTGCGACACCACTGGCTGACCCTGATACTCAGGATGATGATGAGCAGGTGCTGGGGCTGGTGGAGGTGGTTCTCGAGCACCTGAATTCGAATCATCCTGTATAGGGACAGTTATTAAATTGCTGTGTTTTCTCGTTGAAATGCGGAAGGTGTCCTGACTGACTGGGCGAGGTGGTGGTGGAGCCATTGACATCTCTGCAGGAGGTGCACGAATATCTTCATGTGGCTGGTTATAATGCTCATGTGGCACATGCTGTAAAGGAGGTGGTGGCATCATGATGTGCTGCTTTGGCGGAATGTGGCTCATATGATGTTTGTCAGGTGGCATTATGAGGTGGAGCAATAGGAGGATGAACAGGTTCAAGAGGAGGACGAGTAACAGGCTTTCCAGCTCTCATATGGCGGTGGTTGATGTGAGCTTGTAAGTCTCTCTGGGACAGATACGTTCTCTTGCACCCTTGAACAATGCTACACATGAAGAGAGACCCCCGTACACACTGCTCAATTCGCTGCACCGGTTCATTACAGCTAAACCAGAAAACAGTATTGGTTTATTGTCGTCACAGAAAGCTCAATCTGCAAATATTTTTGTTAAAAGTCAACCATTTTACCGATTCCGCAAGTAAGAACTGACTTTTTGTTCCTCCTACTGCAGCAACGAAAGAGACGCTTCACTGATTTTGAAGTTTATCTAGTTACTAAGTCTCCAAATACATGTATTTGAATCCAAATGCATTTGAAATTTCCAGTGCATTTGATTCCAAATACAACTATGAAATAAAATCAAAATTTTGTAAGGTGGAAATTTAGAAGTGACCATCAACTTCTGTCACAAATTCCTTCTATAATGCTTAAAATAGTTATCAAGAATCACACTCAATAAACTGTCGTTTATTCCTTTTTAGATTAAAGTGATATCAGATTGACTATCTGAAAGAACACTTAAACTCTTAAAAACACTTAATCTCCTACAATGTGTTAAGCTAAGGGAAAAGAAATTATAATCAAACAGCGCAGTAAGGAACACTCTACTACCTCTATTAAATGCGCATAAATAAGAAATATATTAATAAAACATGTGAAATTAGCTGTTTATTTTCCTATATTTTCTTTAATGATGAATCTCTAGAGAACTTACCCTGGACACATCTTGTCTCCCTTTTTCTCATGTAGTATAGCACAGTCATAGCAGAAAACATGCTTGCAAGGTATCTAGAGACAAAAAAAAAAAAACGTGTGTTTTAAGACATCGTACCTAACTATCTGTTTTACTTTGCAGGATACATTTCTTCCCTCCAGCATGCAATTTCTAAAAATAAAACTGCCCAAGCAACCTATGAAGTGAACAGGTATAGCAACAGTTAGCAGTTCATAGCATACTTGAACAGGAACTTCCAAAGACAGTTTGAAAACACAGTAGTTCTTGTTTTAAATAAAGAGCGTTGGCAAAAGGATAGCCAAAAGTTTCGCAGTAATACTAACACTGAACACTTACAGAAGCTGCATGTGCAATCTAATTACACTTCTCTTATCAGCTAGCAAGGAGTATTTTAAAAGTATAACTCTCACTAAGTCCAATCCCTCAATCTGTTACATTGCACTCAGAAATCTAATTTCATCTCAGGGATTTTGTGACACTCATATTAAAGGGATATAAAAATGAACAGTGTTTTCTAAATTCACTGCAAGTCTTCAATTAAGATAAAGAGCTTATCTTTAAAGCTAAGCGATGTAACATTGAAAGCCACTGAACTTGAGGTTTGTTTTTTATTTATTTATTTATTTTTTTAAACCAAGCACGCTTTCAAGCTTGCTTAATCAAGCGAAAAAGTAACATCAGCAAGACATATGAAACAAAAACAGTTCAGCAATTAAGGCCCTGGTTCCATCCTGATACTCTCCTGCTGTTCATTCAAAGGCCTGCTGAAATCAGTAAACTCTAGAAGCCTCACAGTGACATAGCAAGACCTAATTTTACTTAAAGGGAAACCATAGCTGCCTTTTCCACTGATAATTTCACTCACCATGCGTCCATACATTTTGATGGGCAATCCACACTTATCACAGAAATGGACAGGTGTATCATCCTTTTCTCCCAGCAAATTTATCTAATAGGATAGAGAAGAGGGTGGGGAAACAGAAGTACCGGTAATGGCTGAAGCAGGAAGCTTTACTACCACACCAGCAAACTCTGAAATAGTTGAGAATGAAGCACCACCACAAACATGAGAAAGCAGAGAATACGTTTTTAGCAAATCAAAAGCAATGGAAGCATTTTTACTTAAAAACATATCTACCAGCATAATCAACAGTTTGGTATGATTCATAGACCAAGACCCATGATTTCCCATCTATGATTTTACCTTATAGTCCCAAAAGATCGGTCCAGGGAATCTCCTTTGATTTCCAAACATTTCACCCCCTTTGCATTCATATCGCTCCTCTTCATTATAATCAAATTCTTCTGTGGAAAGAGGAAGAGACACACAAAGACAACACGACCACTTCAAGAGCCAACCTCAAAGCCTTCCCAACTGATGCAAGCTGCAGCTAAAAACACGTGTCATTCTATACTGAGATCATCAAGAAAAGCCACAACGCTTCCAGTCTGCTGGGCTCAATCTGCAGAAAGATACACTCAAAATAGTGAGAAAGTTTTTTTTGGGAGTAGGCACCATTTATTATTTATTTACGGGGCAGCAGTACCTGGAAATACAGAACTTGCCTTGATTTGAACTCGTATGGAATCTAGCAGACTAGGTCTCAGATACTGAATGGGATCTTGAACAGTGCTGCAAAATATCACCTAGGCTTCCTTACTACAGGGCTAGTATTTATATTCATTTACCTTCATCACCAGCTTGTGTCTTTGAAGGCATCCTGTTCATATTTCTTGCAGTTCGAGGTGCAGGTTTGGTTTTATTGGTCTGTTTTGAGATAAGCTTTATAGGGATTCTTCTACGAACATCAAGACCACCCAATGATCCTGAACTATTTGTTCCTTGCAAATCATTGTCTAGGAAAGAGAAAAATAAGTTGCTGTAATTTTTCAGTTATTTAACAGTCTATAAAGAGGTTAAATATTCACAGAAAAAATTTAAGCAAAATAATCATTAAGGCTTGTTTAAGACTCATAAAACATACCAAAGTTTATCCACTAGAAAATGATCTTAAATCTCTTCACACATGATTTCTTCTAGAAATCAGGTCACAAAATTGTTTGGGGAACAACTGTGATCTTGGGAAATGTAGTTTTAGAAATAACGTTATTTTATTAAAAGTAGCTTGTCTGTCAGAGATAGCCTGTCCGCTCTCCATAACAGGAAAATGACTGTCAACTATTGTACTGCTCCTATCACAGGTTGAATACAACTCTTTATACAACCTTGATTATGCAAACAATAAAAATGACCTTTTCTCACAAGAAAATCTACACAACTTGTTTACTAAGCAAGCTGGAAGGAAACTAGTTTCCATACTAACTCTTAGCAACTTCACATATCACTTGGGAGTTCAGTGCAAAGCACCAAAAAAATATTGATGCTTACAGTACACAGTAATATCTTTGCTAAATTAAAAATTAGCACTCCCTCCTATACAGAATTCTCTTTAACCAGTTTTAAATCTGAGTACCAGGGCAAAGGAAGAAAGCAACAGTTCAACACACACGTGTAGATATGGGCCTGAATGCATAATCTAGGAGTCAGTACTGTAACAGGCAACACTCAGACAACATGAAGGGTTACAATTCACACACCTTCCCAACTTTCAGTAAGTCTACCTTAACCCACTATATAGCATCTCATTTATACAAACATAAAAGATGTCTCACAAATTGACACATCACGCTATTCTATCAATGTACATGCCCATCAGCTCTTTGTAATAAAAAATAAAACTTCTATAAAATCATTACTAGACTCATATTTATAAGCCTTTAACTCAACATCCATTACAGGATAGACAGACATGCAAGACCATGAGCAGGAACACAGCAGCTAAACTTATGTTTTCAAACACAAGCAATCAAAAATTTCATTAGGAACTCTCTTGCATGTCTTGGCATTTTGGAGGGCTGGGTTTTGGGTTTGTCCCCCCTGCAAAATATTTCCAGTGCAAGTCCTGTCCATGTTTGTAGCTGGAAAGATAGGGACACAAATATTTAACATCCTTGTCACTTCTGGTCTGTCAAGAGAGGGGTTAGCATCAGCTGGTAATGTTTAAAAGTGGGACCTTCTCAGCCCCCAAGGAGAGTGCCACAAGCTATTATAGAGTGAGCCCTACTGTTCAACCTCAGATACGGCACTACAGCTCTGGCATGACTACTGCGGCTCCAAAGCATTGCAACAGGGAAGCATCTGGACACTGGAATTAGGTCCAGGGAGTGTAACACTGCACAATACCTCACATAAACAACTACTGTCCCTCAAAGCTTATAATCTCCATATACAACACAACAAGAAGAAGGAGAAACAGAAAAAAAAAGGTTAATGAGGACTTGCTCAAAGTCATTCAGCAGCTAATATCAAAACTAGGAACTGAGACAAGTTGCAAGTTGGGACTGCGCCCTAGCAGTTACTTTACCTCAAAATCAAGAACGCCAATTTTCTTTGGGTCAAGTCTATTTATTTCTTAGTACTGTGGTTGACACATTTCAATCTAAAAGGCAAAATGTAAAAATAGCAAAGGCAATAAAGCTTGCTTTTACTTTTGTTAATTTGGGGGAGTTTAGGCCATCCTGTTGGCTAAACAGATGATCCAGCAAACATGCAACTCAAATACAAGGCTTACCCAGAGGCAGTTAGACTAGAACATCAGAGACAATAATGCTAAAGCTGTTGACGTTCCATGAGCTGGAAGTTCTGTTTTCTGTTACAAAAGTTCTGAGACTAATCACTAGTCCTCTAACAGAAAACCTAAGGCAAACAGTGCTACTGGGGCAGAATGAGAGGAAACAATCTTGAATTGAACACACAAAGGCACTACACTAGAGACCAAAAAGGTCTCTGCAGGACTTCAATTCTTTTACAAATGGGAACAATTAAAATAAGTTTTAAAAACAGAAATTTTTTTACCTCATTTAGTCCACTGAACCAAAAACAGGAGAAAATGGAGTTCTGATACTTCTCTTCCATATACCTTTGCAAGCTAGGAATATTTACGTGACTTAGTTGCTCAACTAATCCAAACGAACAAGTGTATTAGTCATTCCTATTTCATAGGAGAACGATAACCTCAAGTTCGTGTAAGCATAACTAGCAGGAATAAGTCAAGAAAAAAATATGAAAAACGTAGCAAAGTTGTTTAGACTATTTGAGAAGATACGATGAAAAGTGAGACACTCTCTTAAGTTGTCGTCTCCATCAGCTTCTCTGAAGCTTTTTTTTTGTACTCTAAGCTTTTGTTTTTTTAATTTATAAATATAGTTGAATTACTATACTATATGTGCTTATAGCGCAGTCATTCCTAAAGAAAAAAAAAAGTCATCTACTTATGTATTCATTAGATTACGCCAGCATACCAACGAGCAAAACATCAACGCTACAAGAACAAATTTCACGCGCGACATAAGAAAACGCCCGAGAATCTCCGGAGCGCGATCCGGGAAGCAGAA